TGAGGAGCGGCTCTCCCGGCCCCCAGCCCCGGCGGGAGGATGGCCCAGGGACGCGGTACCGGGCCGCCGCTTCGTGCAGGGCCTGGCCGGAGCCATCCGAGTGGGAAATCTCCAGCGATCTGTTCGTGGCTGCCAGATCTGGCACCCAAACGCGTGGGCTGCCAGCCAGGCCCCGAGGGTCGGGGTGGCAAGCAGAGGCTGCTGCCAGAAGTACTCCTGCTGCTGGAGCTGGGGAAGCTGTCATTGCCCAGGCAGCTGGATGGGGCGCAAGCCGTGGTGCCTCAGGCAGGGGTCCGGCAGCTTTGAGCACCTTCCAGGGAGAACAGAATGAGCTGGTGTGCCGGAGTGCGGCCAGGGCAGTGTGCGCTCTGTTAGGGATCCCACCTGCTAGGGACTGTTCCAGGGCTTGCGCATTTTGCATGCGTGACGTGCCTTCGGCCTTGGGAAAGATTACAGTTCCCAGGACAATGGAGGACCTGTGATTTTGAGATTTCTTTCTAAGGACTTCCTTCAATGGATGGAATGGAGCCTATATTTCATTCAGTTGTGTTTGTGTCACTTAGCAGTGTAAAGGGAACCAGCATCCCAGATTGTCTCCACAAGGATGTTGCTTGGTGTGGTGCATCATCGAGAGCTGCCTTTGACCCCTTTCTTCTCATAGCCCTTGGTGGAAGAGATAACAAGAAAGCTTGCAGGAGAAAAGCTGAATAGGGGATTCTTACTTCACTGGTGGTCTCCTGAAAGCCAAAACCACTGGAGCTTAGATTGAGTTTGAGGAAACACCATCTTCTTCTGAGTGGAGATTCAGAGAACCAGAACTGGTTCTTGGAGAGTTCCCACTCTGCTTTTAGCAGCAACTGCAGACTCCAGATGGCTTCACACATTTTTACTTACAGGCATGTTTAGTGTTTAGAAAAGAAACAACACTTCATACAAAGTTCCTATAAATCCGACTCTCTTATTTTTTGTGAGAGACAAGAGGAGGCTCTTAATATGAATATTTATCCTGTGTGTTTTGTAACAATATTTCAGAAGTAGATGTCGACTATGTGCAAACCCCAGTACAAGGAGAGCACTGGACCACCCTTTCAGGTTAAGGCCTTCCTGCACTTGTAGAGCACCCCTTATATATCTGTGTGTGTATATGTTTATTCACACACATACTTCCAAAGAAGGTTCTTCTCTTAATGTTTTTGAGCAGGAGCACCTACATTTAATGAAGAAAAGCCATCATTCTCCCATGACATCCCTTGAATGACACAACAAATGCCATTAATGGTGAGCAAAGAGTTTTTACAGGGGAGAATGGTATCTTTTCAATACATTTACTTCCAAGAGGATACCATCTTTTTCTCTGAATCCCGAGCAGTAGCATTTTCCATGTCTCTGTTTCCCCATGCACTTGGAAGAGATGGCTTTTCCTCTGTATTTACCGCACTGTTGAGCCGTATCAGTTGGTTGGTGACCAAGTCACATTTGCGTTGTTCAGGGCCATCAGCAGGGTCGTGGCAGCCTTCCGCAGCTCTTCCTCCTTCACTGTCTTCCCAACAGACATCAACAACTTCATTGTCTGCAGTGAAGTCTGCACCTGGCTGTCCATTATCCTCAGGAGGAGATCCTCGATGTCACTGTTGGGCAGCTGTCCTTGCTGCTGGCCACTGGCTGTCACCTCTGTGGCTTGTGGGCCAGAAGGATTTGGTTGTGTGCTCACAGGGAAGGAGGTGGGGATCAGAGCTGCCTCTGTGCCAGGTCTGGAGCCAGGCATGGGAGACGTGGTGGGGACTGGCTGGGAACCGAAGCTGCTGGATGACATGGCATCACTGCTCGTGATGATGTTGGTGCCTGCTTTGCTGCGCTGTTTGGCTCTGCTGTGTCCTGGGCACGCAGTCCTCTGTGGAGGAGAAAACATTTCTCTGGAGAGCCTTAGGAGCAGGTACTTATGCACAGCTCTGTTCTACGGGTTTAGCTCTCACTGCACAATCTCATCTTTCACATTTCCTACTAAATTGAGCCCAGGAAAGCAAAATAAACCTTCATATCCTCTCCTTGTCAAGTCTCCCCATAAATCTCTCTTGGGAATAACAGCTGTCCTTACTCTCTTCTAGCCTACATGAATCCCCCTTTCTTCTGGAGAAACCTAGATTGTCTCAGCTTGGTTGGGAATGAGATGTGGAGAAGAGGGCTGAGGTGGTCCTCAAAGGTTCATTTTCTCGAAGAATGCCTTCTGCAAAGTCTGCTTTTCATCAGGTGGCTGCCGGTGCCATCTGTGTTAGCTAATCAGCTTGGTGTGAGTGCTCCTGAAAGGTGGGCTTCCCATGGCTCTCTTCTGTCTTCCCTGTCTTTTAGCTTTCTGTTTTCCCACTTACTCATATTCAGGGCTCTCTCTTTTTGCCTATTAATTGCCCAAAGCACACTGTAGTCTTCAGGAAATAGCTAAATAACTCACCTTAAGGAAATACTTTTTCATAATACAGCGATAAAGAGAAAAGGTGCAGAAGTTGTGGAATAAAAGATTTCCTGGCAGTTCAGAGCATATGGGCCCTAGAAAGAGGCAAATAAAGACACAGACCCAGTGACAGACTCCAGTGCTGGCATCTCCCTTAGCAATAACCTTCCTGTGGAGTGACATTCCTCCTTGAAAACCCCTGTGTCATTTGGGAACCTTTTGAGAAACTCCACTGTTTCTTGATCATCTTCATGACCCAAGGGTTGGAGGAGCCTGGTCCTAGGGTCACATGTGGATCAAATCAAATGTGAGAGAAGATGCCCATGAGCACATGCCTTCTCCTCACTGCAGGATTGCTACCCACCCCTCTACCCCCACTTCTCCTCCCCAGATCCCAAGTGTTTCCTGTCTCGGTGATCAGGGCCATGCAAGACTCCTGTCCAACCGCCTGCCCTTGGGAATCATGGTTGGCTTTACCTGGAGGGATGACTCCGTGGTTTTCATACTCATCCAGTCTCCGGACCAGTGAGTTCTTGCAGCCGTACAGCTCACGAAGGTGGCAGGCAGTGCTGGCTTGGATGGTCATCCGCAGGAACTTGAAGAACTGGTGGTATTCCTGGTCAGAGAGTGGTGTTCCTGGCTGCTGTGCCTTTGTGCCCCGAGGGCCAGCTATGCAGCCCCAGCCCAAGAGCACTGGTGAAAAACAGAGTGCAGGGAGTCAGAGGGAGAAGGAAATGCTAACCATGGCATGTTTGGAAGAGCTGAAGGGCTGAATCCTGATCTCTGTTGCCTTTTCTGGGTGCAGGATCCAGCACATGGAAAATGCATTAACAAGCTAGAGATGGAAGGTCCAGACCTGTGGAAAACTTGCTTTGCCCATGTTGAAAGGAGTGACAGTACATGGCTGAGGTGGACCTTCACCAAAGCTCGGGAGATTCAAATTTTAAACTGGGAGAAATGTCTTGGAAGTCTTGACTGAAACTGAGAAACTCTGTTGTCAGGGCTGGAGCAAGTAGACTGTTTCCTTGCAAGATTTTTTAGCCTCTGCAAACACCCTTCCTCTGGCTAAATAGGTTTTTAACCAAGGTCCTCTCTCAGGCCTCCTCCTGCTTTCCCAATTTATTTACTGGGCCAGCTCTTCCCTCTTAGCTTTGTGGATTGACTCCAGACCTGTGCATTAGTGCTCGTGTCTGGTTTAATGCACCCAGCTATCTCTGTCATGGCATCTCCAGCCTGCACTTCTGCTCCAGCCTGCGCCCACTGCATCCTGCTCTGATTCCTGCCTGGCTCTTAGATCACTCTGTGGCCCTCCTTGATGAATAAAATACCAACTCCAGTGGTGAGAATTGCCAAAATTATAAGCCCTGGGATCTTTGCACCTGGGGCAGTGGAGGGTGCTTCATCCCTTCCTTTTGCCTCCAAACTGCCCAAGCTGAGGAGCGATGGGGAGGGTGCAGAGCAGCTGGGTTAGCTGCCCTTCCTCACAACTGGGTTTGGAGGAGAGACATTTCCTACTCACCAGACAAAGCCAGATAAGCCCACAAAGCCATCATGGCACTGGGAGCGGTGCCTGTGACAGTTGGGGCCCACTTGCACTGCTGGAGGTGTCACCTCTGCTGCTTTGCCACTGATGTCACAGACACCTGTGTTCCAAACACTCCATCCTCCGCTGCCCCTGCTTTCTCCCTGCTGCCCCCCCTCCCCCAGGCATGAACAGTTTGTTCATGAACAGGTGTGTGTGTGTCTTTCTTTCTGCTCTCTACCAGCCCTGTAAAATCTATCTGGAAGGAGGCAGTCAAAGGCAGTCAAATGCCCATTTTTCTGGAGGAAAATCCTGGACAGGAAATTCTGCCTTTGGGCTGCTGCTGTTGATAATGTGTGAGCAGATCAAAATTCTGTCTTTTGCCCAGATCTGTGTATGCTTGGCTCATCCATTAGGACTGGCTCCACAAGCACTAAATGGGGCTCCAGACCACGGCAGAAAACACTAGGAAGAAAGGTAATGGAGCGAAAATTGTTTGAGGAATTGATACTTTTCTAACACAAAATTGGTCAGGAGGCATTTTTGGTCTGGAAGGGTAGCAGGAAGAACATCCAGACACCTGTGAGAAGGCAGTGAGCTGTCAGGCAGCTCTCTGGACATGTGGTTGACCTGTATGTGCTACCCAAGCTGGCCCTGATTATTGGACCTGAACAGTGGTATCACAGTGTTTGTGGCAAGACGGACAGCGACCCTGACTCGTGTTTCTGGGCATCATTTTCCTATGGTCTAGGTTACTTTCAGCTCCTAAATACTTATCCTCCTGTAATCTCACCCTACAGCACTGTTACCATGACAGGTATTTGGTATGTCTGTTTTCCTTCCTCTGATCAGGACCTGCAGTCCCCAGCTTGGCTTTGACCTTTTGGATAAGTGAAGAGAAGCAGGTTTTTGACCAAAAGCAGCCTAACACTGAGCCAGTAGAGAGACTGCTCACGAGGTGAGAAATTGCATGGAGCATGTCTGGGAAGGGAAGAGCTGAATGCTGAAAATTTGGGGTTTACCATGCTGGCTGCACCCTCCACACTCACCCTGCCTCTTCTGCTCCCTCAGTAAACAGATTCTGCTTCCATGAAGATCTGTAGGCAGAGTATGGCAAAGACAAAACACAGTCCTGGGGTATCTAATACCCTTTCAAAAAGACCCTGTGCAAAATGAAATCAGTCTTGTGTATTTTTCAGCAAAGAATATACTCATAATGTTAAAAGGCATAAACCAAAATGTGGCTTTTTCTTCTTTTCGTGCTGACAATATATGACAATATTTGGGTTGGTTTGCTGCTTTGAGGTTGTTTTTGAGTACCTTTGTACTGCAAATATTTTTCAGGCCTAAGCATTGTAAACAAAACCTTGGGGATTGGAATAACCAGTGTAGTGGTATCTTCCAAAATCTGCAGATCAGCTGAAACAAAACCTGAGGGGTCTGTACTGCATGACCTCCTAGTCCATGTGATAGGATGATGTTCAGTCTGTAAGCAGTGCTGTTCAGCTCATCTTACACTCCAGCATGAATTTCCAAGGTGTGTCTCCATGAAAAACCAGGACCCTCCAAATGTTTTAGTCTAAAAGTTAATTAAACAGTTTATCATTCCACTCAGTTGTCTATCTGTTCTGTAGATGAAATCTAGATACAATTTGCTGAAGAGCTTTCTTTTTAAGGAAAAGGGCTATGACTGGAAGGAAGAAAGGAAATAAATAGTCTGCTGGGTAAGGGTGGATGTTTCTGTGGTGTTGGCTGATTTCTTCCATGATTAAGCATGGGAATATTGGCTGAAGAGCAGTGATTCACAGGCAGCAGGAGGAGTAGCAGCTGCAATGGGAATTATCAAGGAAAGCACTCTTGTGGAAAACACAATGTTCCTCTAAGCTTTCTAGACATGGGAACTTTGAAGGCAAGCAAGTGACGGGTCTTGCCCTTTAGGGCTGTAATTTTGACAGAGGATCCCCTTTGCAGTCTGTGATACAGTGGCCTCCCATCCTTGAACCATATTCCCTTCCCACTCACCTCAATCTCCATACCCTCACTGTGCCTGAGAGGGTACCAAGGGGCTGTCTCCTGTGCTGTCAGCTCATGGTGGCTGATGTGCAGCAGGTCTTCGTGGTTTCCCTGTGTGGACTTGAACTTCCAGAGAAGCTGGGAGTTCGTTCATTGCTACTTCCTCTGTTCACTCCAGCAGGTGACAGGATCATGGGAGACATGCAGAAGGGCAGCATTCATCAGGAACTTCATCAGGAAGGTTTAGTGAAAGCTGAACTCCATCTGTTCCCCTCCAGGGAGCTCACAGGAGATTCCCTCCAGGAGGCCGATCAAAGACAGGACCACAAGCAGGAGCTGGAAAGAGAAAGTGAGATGGAGACATGTTTTCCAAAGAGGTATGGAATTGTACCTCCTTATGAGATGGAAGTCTGGGGGTGCAAGGACAGTGGTAAAGCCCCTATAAACAAGGCTATCCTTGCTGGGGACAGGCCAGATCTGCCTATGTGTGGGAATGGTGCCATTTGGATTCAGCAGGTGGGGGAGAAAACCTACAAGTGTCCTGAGTGTGGGAAGAGCTTTAGCCGGAGTTCATACCTGAGCCAGCACCAGAGGATCCACCTGGCAGAGAAACCCTTCAGCTGCTCTGAATGTGGGAAGAGTTTCACCCGCAATTCAGACCTGATCAAACACCAGCGAATCCACACAGGGGAGAAGCCCTACCAGTGCAGCGAGTGCAAGAAGACCTTCAGCCAGAGGTCTAACGTGATCAGGCACCAGCGCACCCACACGGGAGAGAGACACTACCTGTGCAACGAATGTGGGAAGAGCTTCAGCCAGAACTCGCATCTCATCGTCCACCAGCGAAGCCACAAGGGTGAGAAACCCTTTAACTGTCCGCGGTGTGAGAAAAGCTTCAGCGACCGCTCCTCCCTGATCATACATCGGAGGGTCCACACTGGAGAGAAGCCCCACAAGTGCCAGGTGTGTGGGAAGCGTTTCCGGGACAGCTCAGCCATCATTCGGCATCAGAGGATTCACACCGGAGAGAAACCCTATGAGTGCACAGATTGTGGGAAGACCTTCCGGCAGAGCTCCTCGCTGGTGACTCACGTGCGAACACACACGGGTGAGAGGCCCTACAAGTGCCCCGTGTGCGGGAAGGGCTTCAGCCAGAGCTCAGCGCTCACCACTCACCGCCAGATCCACAGGGAAGAGGCCTTGCCCGTGTGCCATGGCAGCCTCCTGCCCAGCCCCTTCCAGTGCATCGAGTGTGGCCGGAGGTGCAGCGATGCCTCCACTCTGGCCAGGCACCAGAGCCTGCACACTGAGGAGCGGCCCTACATCTGTGTGGAGTGCGGGGACAGCTTCCGCCGGAGCTCAGCTCTCAATGTGCACCTGAGGATCCACCGTGCCGAGAGACCCTACAAGTGTGAGGAGTGTGGGAAAACGTTCCGGCACAGCTCGGCCCTCGGTGCCCACCTGAGGATCCACATGGGAACCGAGCCCTACAAGTGCGTTGAGTGTGGGAAAACCTTCTGGAAAAGCTCAACACTTAAAGTGCATTGGAAAATACACATGACAAAGAAACCTTATAAATGTCTGGTGGGTAGAAGAATCCTCACCTCACGCTCACTTCTGCCATAAGCCTGGAGTGGATGTTCAGAGCAGGAATATAAAGTAGTTTTTGGGGGTAGCTAAATGCATGGTGAGAACCATGGTGGGAAAATACTGACTGGAGACATGGTGTATCTGGTGGTAGGGTTGGGTGCTTAATTCCAGAGGCACAAAAAACTTCAGGAGATCTGGAAACCAGGAGTTAGTCCCAAGAGTTGAGTGCTGGGGGTTTAGGAAGAGTTGGAATCAAGCAAGAGCCTGAGGAACGACCACCAGCTTCAGTGAAAGTGGGGACTGTGAATATATGCTAGAATAATAACTGGGAGAACTGGGCTTGTAAAATACAGCTAAGGCGAAGGTCAAAATAAAGTGTTCCAGGTTGGTTCTGACTCAAAACTTTGGTTTAGTAAGTTTACACAGTGTTTGACAAGGCATTTCCAGATCTTTTTGGAGTGAAATTTTGGAGCTGAACTTCCATCTGTCTTTTCTTTCTGTTTTCCAAATATTTTCTATTTTCCAAATCTTACACGGGACAAAGAATTCCTACTTCATGATAGCTAAGTAACAGAAAACTGTAATGGTTGTTCCCAGAAAAACTGGATGCAGAAGCTCTTCCAGTTGAAAGGCAGTCTGTAGCTTCACCCAGATTTGTTGTTGCTAATTTGAAACTTCTTCCAACTTGGGACATCAACAAAACATGGACAAAAATGTGGCCTTATATTATTTAACCCGAAAAGAAAAGATTTATCCCCAGATGTTCTAGTCTGAACCGGTACACGGTGAGTTCCCACTGCTGGTCCAGAGACTGACTGCAATAGCCTTGTTCTTTTTATGTCACTCCTCTTTAGGTCGCTCTTGTTTCCAGAGTATTAACATACACAGTTCGGCATTTAAGGACTGCCTATTACATAAACCTTTTCTATATCGCAATGTTTTATTGCACATTGTGCGTTTCCACCCTAAATAAAACATTTTGGGTTTTTTCTTTTTTCCCTCTGTAATCCAATTCTCTGCCCCTCCGTGCGCCGGGAGAGAGCGGGGCAGCAGGGTGAGAGCGGGGCAGCAGGGTGAGCGCGGGGCAGCAGGGTGAGAGCGGGGCAGCAGGGTGAGAGCGGGGCAGCAGGGTGAGAGCGGGGCAGCAGGGTGAGAGCGGGGCAGCAGGGTGAGAGCGGGGCAGCAGGGTGAGAGCGGGGCAGCAGGGTGAGA